ATATTTTAACCTCCGTTTACGATACCAAAATACCCGTAAATCTGCTGTACCCGTCTTCGTAAATCCGCGAGTTAAACCCGTATATCTTTGGCATCGATCGCGAGTCCCCCTACCTGCTGCTCTTGTCGTATGTAAGTAGAGTTGTTTGTTGGTTGTCTCCTTTGCTTCGAGGGTTTTTCTCCAGGTTCTCCGGTTTTCCTTCTCCGCAAAAATCAACTCCTAAATTCTAATTCAATCTAGAAAGGGCCTAGATGAAAATTACTCTTTGTTATTCGAGTTACAAAATTTTTGTATTTTTTTTGTGTAATTGTGTAAAGCTTGTGGGTAAGCTCACAATGATTGACGATGAATCATGACAAGGACCTAACTACCCAATCTACCAAACTGACTTCCACGGCATTGTTTATATTCTTACTGCTTATGTCTTAGGGAAGCCTTCGGTTATACCGTGATCACGTGGTACGCATTACCTCACATGTCGTTCTTTATCGGATGTACAGCCTCGCTCCTAAGTATCGCCATGTTATCCATGGAACGTTCGATTGCTGTGAACGCCAACTACCACAGAAAACTTCCAAGAAAACGAGCCGTTAACATGTCCGTCGCGATCTGGATCTTCTCTTTTACATTTCCTTGTATCTACTTCCAAATTGGTTATTTCAAATTCGCTTTCATCTTTGCAATCTTAATGATCATTGTCACATTCGTTGCTATGGTGATAGCTTTCATACGTATCCATTGCAGCATAAGGAGCACGACAGCCAGAGTCTTAACTGTTCAGCCCATGGGATCTGCTAACGAAAAGACTTCACAAATAGAACTAAAACGTGCCGAGAGAGAGCGGCGAGTGACTAGAATATTTACAGCTATTCTTATCTTCTACACGATATGCAACTTACCCGCATTTGTGTTCATCTTTGTCGTCAACTTTTGCTCAAGCTGCAGTTGTATTTTCATCCACTGGTCACGTGACCTCCTTCTCTTGTGCGCATTGGTCAACTGTTCGGGCAACCAGTTTCTTTATGCTTGGAGAATGAAGAGTTTTACGAGGGCTTTCCGTTCGTTAGTGCATCTACCGCTGACCGACGAAGCATCAGTGATCCAAACACGAGATACGCGTGACAAACAATGATCAATAGCTACTCATTCAAACTTTTGCACGCACAATACTCAATGTAAAACTTATAAAACTAATAATAATGAACGATAAATAAGTGACGCATGCGTTGTTAAAACGACCGAAGGAAGCTTTGAAAACACTAAAGGTAAGTTCCAATAATCATTACTTCCATCTTTRCAGATCTTAATTTCGCTTTCTAAATACTGGTATTCACTTGGTATTTACATTAACTTTCAAACTCTAATAGAAAACGATGCATACTTTTATTAAACAGATAAATCTTTTTTATTTTTTGTTTTTCAAAAGTAGAAAAACGTGCGAATTTCTATTGAGTTAGCAGAGAAATTTAATATGATATTCCGGGTTGTTCTTTAGAAAAGTATCGAATAATTCATTACAT